AAAGTAGGTTTTCTCGTTCTCTTCAAAAAGCACTTGGATGGCGTTGAGTGGCAGCTCGCCCTGTCGGAGAGAGAAGCAGGCTTAGGACCGCACAGCTGAGCGCAGCTCACGGTCCGTGCCGTAGGGCAGACAGGCGGAGCGGGGAGGACAACCTGGCTGCTCCCGCCCGCTTGAGGGCTGGAGCCTCTGCAGGGACCTGGCTGGCAAAACTCCGCTTCTGCAGGGGCTTTCCCATCAGGGAAGCGAAGAGGCTTGAGGAGCCTATTGCAAAGTTTTGCCAGCTTAGCTGGGAGCACGAGGAGGGGAGCCCCGAGCGCAGGGCCGGCGGTGAGGACGGGGCGAGGTTGGCAGGAGCCTGGCTGCTCTTCCTGCGGCGTGGGGAGAAGGTGCAGCTCGGCCCCGCTGGCAATCCCCTCGGGGTCCTCTGCAGGGAAGGGGAGGAGGAAGAGGAAGCTCAGTGCCTAAATCCCCTAGGCTAGGTCTGCAGGAGAGGAGAGGCACCCAAGCTGCTGCTAATCTGGGAGAGGACTTGGGTACCTCTATACTCTCATAGCACTCTCATGTTGGAGAACTCTGTCTCCAGCAGATTGACTCAGCCTTGTCCCAGTACACTCACCCTCCCCACTCGCAGCTCTCTCTCCCACCACCAGCCTTATGGCAGGAACAAAGCCTCTGAAGCCAGCGTGACTGCACCAGCCCTTTCAGTAAGCGTTGTTCTTACAAAGTCCCTCCTGAGACCTGAGCTCGGAAAAACATTCCTTCCCTTCTAGCTCTGTTTTCAACAGTTTCCCGTAGTTTAATGGCTGACTTCTCCAGAAAATTTTGCAAACATGATCCTGAACAAGGTTTTAGTTACTGGATTGGCACTTCCAGCCTTGCAAATGGGAATCCCCACAATCCATACCCTGCGAAGTCTTACAAAGACAGGGTTGAGCCCCGTAAATGCCAGCTGGTGAAACGTGAGCTCTTGTGCTATACAGCACAGTTGTGAACGCCACTCCTGCGATCGGAGTGGGATTTGCCCCTGGCAGGCACTGCACGTATGTTCCTATCAGCAGGGAGCTGAGGCAGAGAAGCTAAAGCAGCCTGTCCCCAGCCCCTGGAAAAACTGCAGTTAGAAGATACCACGTGCTATTGTCCCTCAGTGCAATACTGCCTGTGCACGCACACCCACCGCTGTCCTCTCTGCCACAACCCGGTGTCCCTTGGCCATCCCCGCGTCTGCCACAGGCGTTGGTCTGTGCCAGGCCCAGCTCGCCCACGAGCTCTGTGGGACGGGCAGGAACAGGCAGGATCCAGACCTCTTCTGCTCCTGCAGCTGCGCCCCATCCTCAGCCCAGCATCAGAGCCCCGCTCTGCTGCCAGATGTCCTTTAAGTGTCACCGCTGCCAGTTTAATTCTCTGTGATGGGCAACCTGGCAGAAGGGCCAAGGGTTTGTCAACACTGAATTAGGATCAAGGTCTCCTCTTTCTTTGGGGCTCCCCAAGCTGAATTTTCCTTACATAAATGGAACAAGAACAGTGCTGGGAGAGCAGCTGAAGCAGATTTTGCACTGGAACCATCTCACAGACGAGCTCATTGCTTTATTTCTCATCTCTTTCACTGGGCAGGGAGAAACTAAGTGACACATAGCTTCTTTGTTCCTTAAGCCCCTGTTCACCTCACCTGGATGGCACCCTAGCCCTGTCTGTGGGCACGGAGCACCAGGCAGGGCAGCTGGTGGCAATGGCCCTGGGAGCAGCTCCTAGCTGGGATAGCAAACACAGGGTCTGGGGAGCGCTCAGGAATCGAAATTCCCACCTCATGCCGCTCCCCCCCACGCCCGGCCGTGGAGGAAGCACAGAATACAGGAGCAAAGCCCTGTCATTTAGCCGAAGGTCCTCTCAAAAGGTGCAATCGGTTAGGATTTATTTGCCTAAGTTTATGGGCTGCAAAATAAGGTATCTAGCAGAAACCCCTCATCACGTCCTCGCTGCAAAGCTGTCCCAGCTGCAATAGGCTCTGGGGAATGTGGCCGACGTGACAGCTTTGCCACAAGGGAAACGTGGAGCTCAGCCGGGCGTCTGTGGTTTGTGCTGGCCAGCTGCCTCTCTGCAATAGCCTGTGGGCACACGCAGGCTTCTGTGGTATTTCTCCTGCACCAAAAGTGATTTATGGGCTGAGCAGTACAGGAAGGCTGACCTTGGGAGGGAAAGCTCATGGGATGCTCCGTGACTCGTTTTCTCCTGCTGCTGTAAGAAATGGACTTTGACACTTCAGCTGGCGCAGGTGCTGCAAGGCTGCGTGCGGAAGGGGCCGGGGCCGCCTGCTCCTGCCGCTCCTCAGCTCTCCGGCACATTCGAGCAAGCCCTCCTGCCACCGAGGACGACTGCGGAGGGCTTCCCCCAGGCGCCCGGTCCTCCGTCCTCCCTAAGGCAACAGCCCCCTGTCCATGGGACGGGGCTGAAACACCCCGGGGGCTAGAGTCCCACCCAGGGAAGCGCAGCAGCATCCCGCAAATAACATGCACAGAGCCCTCCGTCCTCCCCCAGGCACGGCGTGAACCTGCCCCCCATCCCAGCAGCTCCCCCCTCGCTGATTTACGCCTCGCCCAGGGCCTTTTCCCACCAGTGGTGAGCCAGAGCCTGCTGCTTTGGGTGAGCCCCGTCCCGGCAGGCTCAGCCCCTACCTTCCTCTTCCCTGTCTCACACACAAATTTGGCAGCGGCAGCTCCTGTGGTTTATATGAAACTGAAGAACAAAAGGGCCAGGCTATTCCTTCACACACAAATTGTAGGGCTCAGCATCTGCTCGCAGGGAAGGGAAGTTAATTTCCAGAAGCCCTGGGAGAAGGCTCCTGTGCCCTGACATGCCTGTGGAAAATCAGGTTCCCACTGCAGTGTCACAGGGTGGTGAATCACCTCCTGCCTGCACTTGGCTGCACAGAGCCCTGCCATTACCCCAGCGAGCGAGACGCCCGGGGACCAACGCTCATGCACCGTGGGAAGGGAACATTGCATGGACAGGGCAGACAAATCTGGGTTAAGGTTTCAAAAGAGATGAGTTAATCCGAGAGCCCAGCCCAAGGCCCCCTTACGTGGTGCCCTATTCCCAGGAGCTGCAACCGTGTTCCCGAAAACAAGCTCTGTCTGAGGTGTGTCACACAAGCCACCAGCTGCTGGAAAACACCCTCCGCTGTTGCGCTGGGGACGGAGGAAAGCTCTCGCTGGCATATGTCCCTGCTCACACCCCTTGCCGGTGCAGGCACAGCCATCGCCTCTGGCCAGGGAGATGTTCTATGCAGGTCTTCCCAGGGGTAGCCCTTGAATTAAAAGCAGCCTGCACGGCTCGCTGAGGTGGACACGGTGAAATCATGTGAAGAAGGACCCCAGTGAGTTCACACTGAATTTCACAAGCCCTCAATCTCTGCAGGGTTTCCTTCCCACTGGCTCCTCTCTCAGTGACTAAGAAGGACGCTGCTCCTCTGGAGCAGCTCCGCTCCGCCATGTGCCGGTGGTGCTGCACCCGCAGGTGCAGAGACAGTTCAGCGCTCTTTTTGGCACGTTTGCTCTAGCATGGGAAAACAGGGCCAGAAAGCACAGGGCTGTTCAATAGCCATTGCAATGATGTCCAAGATGGATGTTGGCAATCAAGTTTAAGGGCCATTCAGCCCGCAAGCAATGCGAATGCAGTTCCCAGGGCCCACTGCCCGTCTGTGCTGAGGCTCCCAGCATTGCTCCTACGAGCAAAGACACACCAGTGGCCTAGAGAAGCTCTTCTCACACCCCTTGGGGCACTCAGGCCTCCACGTCCTTGTTGGCCCTTCTGCTGGCATGCCCAGACGTTGCTCAGGGTAGCAGCAAACGCAGTGCACCCGCAGCGGCCTCTCCTCTCTGCCCGCCAGCCATCTAACTGCCTTTGCCCTTCCCCACGAGCATCAGAGGTGCTGCCTGGGTGCTACCTGCTTTCAAGTGGTCCCACAGAGCGGGGCCTGGGAAGCCAAGCCCCCGCGGGGGGCACTCTCTGGGGCTGTTCCAGCTCCTGTCTCAAGCAAGCGAGCCAGGCTCTCCGCCAGCATAACCACACAGAAACATGCCAGCCTCCCTCCTCCCAGAGACTCGGATTCCTTGGCAGCCAGCTCTTTTCCCCCCGGGGCTTTTGTAGGAGGGCAAGGTGTTTCTCATGGGAAGATAGCTTGCAACATCCCTCTGCCGGCTCACTTGCCAGCTGGCAAGGGAGCCGCATGGAGGGAAAGCCCTTGCCAACACGAGGAGAACAAGGGAACGCAGGTGGAGGGGAGCAACAAGCCAAAGAAGTGCTGAAATAGCCGCTGTGGATGGGTGAGAAAGCAGGAAGGTGCTGCAAAATGAACTTACCTTAAAACAGAGGCTGTTGCGCTCTTCAGATACTATCACCAGCGTGGACGGGTAAAGCACCAACAGCCGGTCGTGCTGCTCCTTGGAAAGTAAAGGGGAAGAGGGTTCCCAGTGAACAGCCAGACAGGGCTCAGATCTGGAGAGCCCTTTCCTTTGCCTCTCCGACAGCAGCCTGGGGCAAGGGCTCTGGAAAAGAGCTGAGCTTTTTTTTTAGGCCATTCCTGCCAGCTCCAGCTGCCGGCCCTGTCCCGCAAACGCTTATGCACGTGCTGTCCCCAAGCACCGCTGCTGGCCCACGGGAGCAGTAACAAACCTTCTTCCATTTCCCGGGATGTGGGTAAAAGGAGCCTTCAGGGCCCCGTGGGATTAGTGGCGTCAGGCAGGCAGGAGTCTGCTCTAATCACTCCATCCATTGCCTTTTCTGAGCCGTGCCGACAGGAGGTTGCTCCCCAGAGATGTGTCCTACCTGGAAAGGCAGATGCTGAAGCTTCACTTTGGAAACACAGAGGACATCGCCTAGGGATTCCCGTTGGGTCCCTCTCCACTCCTGGACAGGCATGTTCTGCACGGACCACCGCAGCTCCTCCTTCCCCATGGAGCTCTGCTTCCAGTCGTCCTAGGGACAGGAGCAGAACTGAGAAGCAGGGTAGCCGTGTCCTCCCCTAAGAGTTTAGCTATTGCATGGCCCATATCAGGACACTT